ATCCATAACATCTGTCTGCAATCCCACTGTCATGATATTTCAGCCTGAAGAAGCAAAGAAGAGATGAAGAAAGCAAATTCTCCTCTTCCTACAGACATGGGAGACACAGGCCACACTTGACTATCATTCTGTTGGCCTGAACTTGGTGACATAACCCCATTCAGACAGCAGGGAAATGCAGTCCTTTTTCTGGGTGGCCATTCGCCCTTCCAAAAATTAAGGACTCTATCACTGAGATGTGGGAGAGAACAAATAGTGGGGGTAAAGCTAGCGGATCTGGCCACAGTGCTCCCCCACCCCAACAATACTTCAAGCCCAGTCCCTCCTTATCGGCCATCCTCTGACGCTTACTTAGCTGGTCCACTATCATTCTCCAATCCAATATTTCTAACACCAAACTTGTCTATCTCCTTTGACTTCTTCCCACCGTAAAATTCCCAGTATAAACTAGTTTTCCACGACAAATTTTCCAGGCACAAAGTAGAGAAATTCAAAATTCATTGTGGAACAACTGAGTTCCATTAGATGCCTCCTTATTTCTTGCCTTGCGTTTTGCTATCTCTCAAACCCAGCCCTTCCTTTCTATCCCATTATCAGTCCCTGGTTCATGACCAGATAGCTCTAATAGTCAGCTAAAGGGTCTCTCTAGCCCGGCTTCTCTATTTTTGTTTTCCTTGCATCATTATTATATTATGATGACCTTAAAACATTATTCTAATCTTTATCCTCAAAAAACTTTAATAGTTTCCTCTGCCTCTAAGATGGACCTCAGACTCAAGGCTGTGCCTAATTTGTATCTCCAGCTTTACCTCTCTCTGCTGCGTTATGCAAATCTCTACTCAGTCAACTGACATCAAAAGTTCTGCTTCTAAACTTTTATTCTGAAGCTGTGAACCTGAGATTCCCTTCCTTTCTCTTCCATCTAATAAAATTCTATTTTCCCTGTCAAGTTCTACTGCCTCTAGAAGTTTCTTTAACCAGTACGGCTCAACATGACCTCTCCCTTTGAATTCCTACTGAAAGTACCTGTCTATTCTCTTTGTTTGAATTTATCACTTGCCATCTTATAGTATTAATGACAGTTACAAACATGACTGTTATAAACATAACATGTGTCTTATTTGCCTAACAAGATATTAAACTCCAAAGAACCTGTCTTTGTCATAGATTAGCATCTTACATTTTATGTTAAGTCCTCAAGACATTTTTGTGAGTGGGAGCAATACTAGGGATGGAACCCAGGGCCTTGCCCATGCTGGGTAACTGCTCTCCCACTGAGCTACATCCCACTCCTCTCTCAAGACATTACTGTGCCATGGGTTCTCTCTGAAATTGAGTTTTGCTAAGATGCCTTCCAGGAATCATGTAATATTTGAATTCCTTTAGCACATAGAAAAAGAAATATTGAAATTGATTGATATGGAGATTCTCTTTTAAAACCTGAAATATTTTAAGAGCAAAATGAATTCCACCAAGAGTATCTAAAAACTGGGTGACACATGCCTGTAATCCCAGGAGTTTGGGGAAGTGAAACAGGATATTCACAAATTCAAAGCCAGCTTGGGCAATTTAGCAAGAGTCTATTTCAAAATAAAAAGGGTTGGGGATTATTTCAGGGGTGGAGCATCCCTGAATATAATCCCCAGTACCAAAAAAGAAAAAAGAGTACCTAAAAACCACCCCTCCTTTACTTGAATTATTCCTTAAAAATGTCTTTTAAAGGAGACAGCCATGGTGGTGCATGCCTGTAATACCAGCAACTCAGGAGGCTGAGGCAGGAGGATCACAAATTGGAGGCCAGCCTTAGCAACTTAGTGAGACTTATCTCAAAATAAAAACTAGAAAGGACTGGGGATGTAGCTCAGTGCTATAGTGCTTCTAGGTTAAAAAAAAAGAAGAAGACTTTAAAAGGGCTCCTATGTCCTTGGCATCACCAAGGATGCCATAGGGATGGCCTATGGAAGCTGTAAAGGGCATATACAATTGATCCTTACCAATCCCCCAAATAACTAATGCCGGTTTTGCCTTGATGGTTAACAAAGCATGTCATCATTGGCTGCTAAGCAGATAGTGGCCAATATAGTTATTACTTTCACGCTGGCTAACGAAATACACTCAGAAATGTTTTGTCACTTTATTAGGGTCACCCGGTTCATAAATAGAAGTACTGGCACCTACATCTTCTGCCTTCCTGTCTTTCCACTACATGGTTTTTCAGCTACTTAGAGCACAATTGGGAACGTTTAAAGGTAGCAGAACCTTTATCCTATGACTGTGGACGCTTTGCCTTTTCTCACCAAGCAGGGAGTTGGCATCAACAACACCAGAAGCACAAAGAGTAGCAGGACTTCCTCCTGCTTGGTCTCCCCTCCACCCCCGCTGCCTGATTGCCCTTTGATAACCCAGCATCACTTCCTGAATGACTTGCTATGGAGAGCAGGCGCACTCTTCAAACTGTACCACCCACCCATCACTTGTGGCTTCCCAACTGCCCTAATACCAAGAAGCTCTCAGTCTTAGCAAAGTGCCTCCCCAGTGCTAGGGTTTAAGAACCCACAAGAACTACAAGTCTCAGGTCTTGTTCACTTCATTTGACCTAACTCAAATCCAGAGTGGAATGACGGTTAGACACTTGGGCCTAATTTTTATAAAACCTTGAGACATGGAAGATGCAGGAGCAAGATTGGCTCTGAAATTCACGGGACCTAAGGCAAAGTGAAAACATGGGGCCCTTTGGAATCGCTGCAATGAACCAAGTTCAGGGTCCTTCTAGGCTCAGCTGCACAGATCCCATGCCGATAACTGGGACATCCAAGAATTCAGGCTGGGACACTCAAGTGTCCCACTACCAGACCTCATCAGCCCAGTAGAACAGTTTACCTGGAGAGAGTTCAGGTTCAAAGATTTTGGCAAAATATGACTGCAATTTACCGAAGGCAGCATTAACCGAAATTTCTGTCCCCTCAATGATTTGTTCCTATTGCTGTTTCTGTTTGGCACTCACCATTGTATTTTTTCGTTATTAGTCTTTGAGCTTCAAGCCCCTTAGGGCTGCAGTGATAGTCTGTTTAGCCCTGTGTTTCTAACTCAGCATCTGGCACATGGTTTAGCACTTAATAAATCTTTGAAAATAAATGTCTCTACTCCCCCCCCCCATTTGTCTCCTCTCCCATCTCAGGGCCTGGTAACATCTCCTCTGGGCTTAGCCTGCTTGTTCCAACTAACACAGCAGACCTTGCCTGGGATATTTCTCCTTAGGGAGGATCCCCCTTGATGTGAAAGGACAGAGGTTTCTATGAGCAGCCCTGGGGCTTTTGCAGTACTTACTGAGCTGAAGACAAGGGTAACTAACCATAGTGACTTTGCACCAACAGGTTAAGAAAGCCCTTTATTTCTGTGACACTCCCAAGTGATTTGTATTCTCAATAGCCCTTATTCTTGCCCTCTCTATGCCAAGACCTATATGAATTTTAGGGTCAGCGTGAACCTGCACATGGGGGAAACACATCCTGGCCTTCGAAACTTACATATAAGAAGTACACATCAGAACAGCCCAAATAGCTGTTTGGGATTGACACCCTTTCTGGTTGGGCTGTGACTGTCCAATCAGTTTGGAAGTAATTTGAGGGCTTGGGGGTATAGCTCGGGAAAAGTACACTTGTCTAGCATGCACCAGGCCTTGCACCACAAAAATAAATGATTCCCAGCACCACAAAAAAAAAAAATTTTAAAAACAACCTCAGAGAATAACATCATAATAAAAGGTGAGAAAATAATACCTTGTAATTATATTGCCTCTAATTTTACAGTTACGTATCCAATCAATTTATCTTCACAAGGTGATGGAGGAGAGAAGAAAAGGAAATTAAATTTTTCACTTTTCCCACATTACATTTAAGGGTAGATACCCTTTGGCTTTTACTAGGAAGTGTTCCCTGGTTTCCCAAGATAGATCAAGCCCCTTACTCTTCTCCTTCAAAGCATATCATTGCATATTTTTTATCTGTCTCTTTGTGTGGTTATCTGATCAACATTGGTAAGTGAAGCAGGCACCGTATCTCTTCTCACTCACCATTCTATACCCAGCTCCTTGTATCATGCTTAAGGAGTAAATGCCCCAAAAACATTTGTATCATAAATCAAATTAATAAGTATCTGCCAAAGTGTCTGAAACAAAACTGACCCCTGAATAAAGACATGCATTCATTCATAAAAGGATGAATGAAGAAGTGATCTTTGCTTACTTCACAAGTTGGTCCAAGAAAGTCTAAACAACACATGAATGAGTTCTGGTGTCAAACTCATTCCACAATTATTTTCTAAGCAACCCCCTTATGCGTCAGGTATTCTTCTAGAGAATGAGGATATAGAAGTGAACCAAAAAGACGCCTCAAGAAAAATCATCAACTAGGGGAATAATTTCTCCAGAGCTTCTGAAGCACTCTCCAGAGCCTCTGTCACAGAAATAAAGGGCTTTCTTAACCAGATGGTGCAAAGTCACTATGGTTACCCTTATCTTCTGCCTATATCTTCCATGAAGAGAAGCAAAACATGTAACCTGGTTTTTTACAAATACCACAGTCAAAGAAAAAGCAGTGACCCAAGAGACCATCAGCCCAGATATTCTAGATCTTGTCCCAAGCTCTTCCACTACTTGGCAATATGATCTTGAGAAAGAAGTACACTTGGTATCTTGGACCTCAGGGAGGTTTGTGATCTTCATCTCTCAAATTGCCTTCTAACTTTCAGAAAGTGTACACAAGGTAAATATGTTTTAATAAAGCAGATCTCTACAAATTCACTGAGAAACTAAATTTTAAGTGAGACTCCTTTAGAAAATATAGTTGTCATAACATTAAATATACCACAATAAAGTGCTAAAGATATTGTCAAGAAACGGGTTGAGCTGTATCCGCGGAAGCTCCCAGATTATAGGCTGAGAAGACAAGGAACTGGATGGTGCCAAGAGTCAGATGTTACAGTTTTCTGTTTGTCCTCAGGGCTGAAAGCAGCTGGAAATGATGCAGCCTTGATTGTGGTGAATGGAATTCTGGGGGAGTCGGCTACTTTTCCCTTAAATATTCAAGAATCAGAGCAACTCTCCAGCATTGCGTGGACTTCTAAAACATCTGTTGCTTTTATGACACCAGGAGACCCAGGAACAGCACCCACAGTTGTCACGACCCACAGAAATTATTATGAACGAATAGAAGTCACAGATCAGAACTACAACCTGATCATTAATGATCTGAGGATGGAAGATGCAGGAGTCTACCTAGCAGACATCAACACAAAGAACTTTCCCTACACCACCACCAAACGCTACCACCTTCAGGTCTACCGTGAGTTGTGGGAAGAAGGAGGGCTGGGTTCCAACTTTCGTTTTGTTGTCTAAAGGACACCTGGTTGGACCTTGTGGTGCACTCCTGTCATCCCAGCTACTCTGGAGGCTGAGGCAGGAGGATCCCAAGTTCAAAGCCAGCCTGGGCAAGTTAGACCCAGTCTCAAAATAAAAAGGACTGGGGATGGAGCTCAGTGGTAGAGCACTTGCTCTGCATGTGCAAAGTCCTGGGTTCAATTTCCAGTACTGTAAGTCATTGTCATCACAGCCATCACATGTAACTTCATGTAAACAAACACTACCACAAGCAAAATAGTTAAATGTGCCATCCCAGGATTCTCTTGTGCTTCATGGACAACCTATGACCTCCCTCTTTCTGTTCCTAAACTACTAACCCCTGGAGAGGGCTAATTTGCTCATATCTATAACCATGTTAGTCCACAGATGTTATGTAGATGGACTCCTGCAATGTGAATATATCCTTCTGAGACTTGTTTTTCATTGGCATAATTTCTTTGAGATTTACCCAAACTATTGAATGTATCAATCCCATGGAGCAAGCACAGTAGTTCATTTAACCCTTCACCTGCCAAAGGACATTTTAATTGTTTTCACCTTGGGGCTATTCTAAATAAGGCTGTTTATAAGATTTATAACATTTGGGTACAAGTGTCTTTAGGAGATAAATTTTCACTTCTGTGGAATAAATGCCTAAGAATGAAATTAGATGCGAAGTCCATTTTCAGTTTTAAAAGAAACTGCCAAACTATTTTACATTTTAGGTACATCCCCTGGGAATGTATAAGGGGTCCAATTGCTCGGCATCCTCACCAGCCTTTGGTGGTAGCATTATTTTTTTAATTTTGGCCATTCTAATGGGTGTGTAGTGATATCTCATTTCATTTCATTTGAATTTCTCTAGTAGCTAATGATAATTTTTTTTAATTTTTTAATAGTTTTCTCCACATTTTTATTGGTGCCTTATAGTTGTACATAATGATGAGATTTATTATTACATATTCATACATGCATACAATTTTCAAAGTTCTTTTTAAAGGTAAAATATCAGAACTACTTATTATCGTCATTATAACTGGCATGATGTGTCACACACTATTATCCAAAATATGGTCTCTAGCCTGGCAATATCACCTGGAAGTTTTTTGAAGATGCAGATTCTCAGGTCTCACTTCCAACGTTTGGTGGTAGAGTCCAGGAATCTCACACTTTGTCTGGATTGTTCCTATGTGGCTAAAGTTTAAGAAGCACTGCTCTAGACTCACCTTGTCCAATATGGTAGCCACCAGGCACATATGTCTCTTGAGCAGCTGAAATGTAATGAGTCCAAATTGAGATGGCAGTAAGTGTAAAATACACATCAGATTTTGAAGTGTTGGCACCAAGAGCAGAGTATAAAAAATCTCATTAATAATTTTCACATTGGTTACAAGTGAAAGTGATATATTGGATAGTAGCTTAGATAAAATGTATTACTAAAATTAATGTTACCTGTTTATTTTTACTATTTTAATGTGGATATTAAAAACTTAAAATTATCCATCCCCTACCAAAGAAAATTCTAGTTGTCCTTAAATATATGTGCATATAAAAATATATGTATATTTAAATATATACAATATATTAACATATATATTTTTGTACTGGGGTTAAGCCTATGGGTGTTCTACACTGAGCTATATCCCAACCTTTTTTTATTTTGATACAGCGTCTCACTAAGTTTCTCAGGTTGCCCTTGAACTTGTAATCTTCCTGCCTCAGCCTCCCAACTCTTGGGATTACAGGGATGGTAGGCACGTGCCCCCACAGCCATACTTTTTCTTTAAGAATTTTTTTTTAATATTTATTTTTTAGTTTTAGTTGGACACAATGCCTTTATTTTGTTTATTTTTATGTGGTGCTGAGGATCAAACCCAGAGCCACGCATGTGTTAGGCAAGTGCTCTACCGCTGAGCCACGACCCCAGCCCTCAGCCATAATTTAATTTTTAATAATACTATATTTAACAATCATCTTGAAAATTTAACCATTGGTTCTCATAAGCTGGTATAAACCAGCTCCTGCTCACCATGAGTTCACGTATTTTCCCCCCTCACAGGTCGGCTTGAAAAACCAAAAATTACACAGAGTTTCATGGCATCTGTGAATAGCACCTGTAATGTCACACTGACATGTTCTGTGGAGAAAGAAGAAAAGAATGTGACATACAGCTGGAGCCCTCTGGGAGAAGAGGGCAGTGTCCTTCAAATCTTCCAGACCCCTCAGGACCGAGAGCTGACGTACACGTGCACCGCCTGGAACCCCGTCAGCAACAGTTCTGACTCCATCTCTGCCCAGCAGCTCTGTGCAGGTAACCAGCTCTGTCTTTGTTCCTGATGGATCTCAGACATCACTCCGAAGATCTTCAAGGTCTGAACTTGGTCTCACCCCTAGGGGAATGGGCCTCCTTTAGGCTGAACCTGGTCTCTAGGAACATCTCTTCCCAGGAAGCCTGCTGAGAAATTGGCCAAAGCCTTTTTCAAGATGCTAAGCATTCAGGGTGTTCTGAGGCAAACCCGGGCATCTCTGACTCAATTCCTGATTTCTAATAGGAGAAGGTATGGTATGGAGCTTTAGAACTCCTTGGGGGGCATCCAATTTTTTTCTTTCTTCTTCTTTTTTTTTTCTTTTTGCATTTCTGGGGATTGAACCCAAAGGGGCTCTCCCACTGAGCTACATCCCCAGCCCTTTTTGTTCTTTATTTTGAGATAGAGCCTCTCTCTATTGCTCAGGCTGGCCTCAAACTTGTGATCAGGAGGATCAACCTCCTGAATTGCTGGGGTGACAGGTGTGCACCACCATGCCCAGCTGAGGACACCCAGTTTTGATAGTGGCCCTGAATGTGGACAAGGCTCGTGCTTATTTCCTGAGAGCCCAGACTCACTGAAGCATCCATTTCCAGACGCTGCAACCGGCTCCCGTCCTCGCCACTCCGGGATGCTGAGCGGGCTGGCTGTGCTCTTTCTGCTGGTTCTCATCCTGCCTTCAGTGTTTCTCCTCCGTCTGTGCAAGAGAAGGCAAGGTAGGATTCTCCCAGACGGTGAAATGTGAAGATGGACCTTCTTCCCTCCAGGAACTGAAGTCATTTACCCCAGGTGGAGTGGAGAGTATCAGGAGCGGGCTCTTCTTCTGCCCAGAGGAGTCCAAGCCATCTTAAAATCTTAACATCTCAAATAATTAACAAATAATAAAACACAGACACCGAGAAATATATTTACAGAGAGCGAAGCTCCTGATAGATCTAGTCCACGTGGGTTCTTGAACTAAACAAAGAGAAAATGGCTTAGGTGGTTTATTTCAGGGGGCACATCAAAGGCAGGGATAAGGTTTCAAGGGCGGAGTCCTGCTTCTGTGATGTCTTGCAGTCAGCAGGTTGATTGACATTTTGCAAGTCACACCCATCTCGGGTGCTGAGTGGACCCACATCAGAGCAGGAAAGATATTCACACTGTCCCTGAGCAATTGATCAGAGGAAATGTCCACTGGCCATTCCCAGACACCAGATGTCTCTATCCACGAGGCTTCCATGCACAGTGACCCACATGCAACCCATGAACGGCTCGAGACAGGAAAGGCCCATTTTTCTAACCTTCCTACAATCCCCACCCCACCACCTCACCACCTCCCAGGATGATGGCCCTGGGGACTGTAGGATGTTACCCTGAGCAGTCCTCAGAGTCTGTTCTCGGGATCACCAGTATCTGGTGAGTCCAGGACTTGGGTTTGAGTTCAGCATTGCCAGTAACCAGTCATGCTTCGTTGTAATAGTGTGTTCACTTGGGACTCAGTGTCCTCACTGGTGAAATGTCTGAACCACAGAGTCTCCGGGGTCCCTTCCAGTATCATCGTATTTTGATAATGACCTTTGGAGAGTCTATGAGGGACATGTACTAATTGGTAAGAAAGAAGAAAGGAAAGAAAGAGGGAGAGAGGGAGGGAGAAAGGAAACCTGATTTTAAGTCCCTAAGAGGGTTTACACTGCCCCATTCCCCTTAACCCCAGGTCCATCTAAGATCTTCCTTTCTCACCAATCACAATAAACAATATGGAACCTCTGTTTCCATTTCTAACTCTCCCTTGTTTCTGCTTCCTCAGGTTCTTACTTGACACCCTTCACTAGGAACTCCCAGCCCTGTGTTTCCTGAATAACAACTGGGAGGGAGGGAAGTTCACAACATAGTGATTAAGACTAAGTATCTGTTGTGCCGTCAGTCTGAGGGTGAAGTCCCAACTTGATCACACATCAGCTACCAGTTATTTTATCATCGTAAGCTTCAGTTTTCTCAACTGTAGAATATTCATCATCATCATAATAATACAGCTTGCTGCATATGCTTATTAAGTGGAGTATATGAAATGCTTGGCCCGGTACCTAGTAAATACTCAGTAAATGTCAGCTACTCTCTTTCTAATTGATGGGTATTGACAGTGTGGGTACAGAGGAGGCATTTTACAGAGGAAGGGAGTTTTTGACAGGCATCATAACTTAAATACCCTCCTAAAGGGGAGAAATCACAAGCCGCTCAGGTTGTAGGTGATCTGCAAGGTCCCTCAAGAGATATCTGTCTTCGATCCCTCACAACCTCTTGGGGAAAGAGAGGGGCTATTTTTCACATTTACAAATGAGATAAGAGACAGCACTCAGTCTGGGTCCCTCACTAAGTCCGGGGCAGGAGCTGAGACAGGACCAAACTCTGAGATGTCGGAGCTGTGATACTGCTCTCAGCTCAGACCCATTACTGTGGATATGCTGGTGCCCTGGAATAGGAGGAACCCAAAATCTGGCATGCGCATGTAAGCATGCACGTGAGCGCTCTCTCTCTCTCTCTCTCTCTCTCTCTCTCTCTCTCTCTCTCTCTCTCTCTCTGTCTTATTGAGTAACAGCATGCCTTTATTTTATTTATTTATTTTTATGTGGTGCTAAGGATCCAACCCAGTGCCTCACACGTGCTAGGCAAGTGCTCTGCCACCAAGCTACAGCCCCAGCCCTCTTTTCAACTTGGTTCTAAAATATTCTGTTCGTAATGAAGAAAAGGAGTACACTGGGATATATACCCTTCTAGCTCATAAATTACTAAAAATAGGTACTTATTTCTCCTGAGTTTGATTCCCTGGGAACCTCGCACATAGAAGGAGCTTAGTAAATGTTTCTTAATTCTGTGAATCAGTCAAGCAAGGAACCAAGGTTTGTGGAGCATCTACTATGTGCATAACGTTGAGGTGGCTACAGTAAGGTATGTACCAGAAAAAATGCAACACAATGTACAACCAGAGAGAATCAATGTTGTTAAAAAACTAAGGCCCTGTGCTCGCTTCGGCAGCACATATACTAAAATTGGAAAAGAACATAAGCATGGCCCCTGCACAAGGATGACACACAAATTCGTGAAGCGTTCCATATTTTTAAGAGAGGTAAATAGGGAGCCTACATCCTGGGAACAAATCTTTACCCCTCACACTTCAGATAGAGCCCTAATATCCAGAGTATACAAAGAACTCAAAAAATTAAACAATAAGATAACAAATAACCCAATCAACAAATGGGCCAAGGACCTGAACAGACACTTCTCAGAGGAGGACATACAGTCAATCAACAACTACATGAAAAAATGCTCACCATCTCTAGCAGTCAGAGAAATGCAAATCAAAACCACCCTAAATACCATCTCACTCCAGTAAGATTGGCAGCCATTATGAAGTCAAACAACAACACGTACTGGCGAGGATGTGGGGGAAAAGGGTACACTTGTACATTGCTGGTGGGACTGCAAATTGGTGCGGCCAATTTGGAAAGCAGTATGGAGATTCCTGGGAAAGCTGGGAATGGAACCACCATTTGACCCAGCTATTGCCCTTCTCGGACTATTCCGGGAAGACCTTAAAAGAGCGTACTATAGGGATACTGCTACATCGATGTTCATAGCAGCACAATTCATAATAGCTAGACTGTGGAACCAACCTAGATGCCCTTCAATAGATGAATGGATAAAAAAAATGTGGCATTTATACACAATGGAGTATTACTCAGCACTAAAAAATGACAAAATCATAGAATTTGCAGGGAAATGGATGGCACTAGAGCAGATTATGCTAAGTGAAGCTAGCCAATCCCTAAAAAACAAATGCCAAATGTCTTCTTTGATATAAGGAGAGCAACTAAGAACAGAGCAGGGAGGAAGAGCATGAGAAGAAGATTAACATTAAACAGGGACAAGAGGTGGGAGGGAAAGGGAGAGAGAAGGTAAATTGCATGGAAATGGAAGGAGACCCTCAGGGTTATACAGAATTACATACAAGAGGAAGTGAGGGGAAAGGGAAAAATAATACAAGGGGGACAAATGAATGTCAGTAGAGAGGGCAGAGAGAGAAGAGGGGAGGGGAGGGGAGGGGAGGGGGGATAGTAGAGGATAGGAAAGGCAGCAGAATACAACAGTCACTAGTATGGCAATATGTAAAAACGTGGATGTGTAACCGATGTGATTCTGCAATCTGTATACGGGGAAAATGGGAGTTCATAACTCACTTGAATCAAATGTATGAAATATGATATGTCAAGAGCTTTGTAATGTTTTGAACAACCAATAATAAAAAAAAACAACAAAGGCCCTGAGATGAAAAGTCAGCTAGCCATGCGAGGACATCCCTGCTAATTACAAGAGACACTAAGGAAAACTCTGGGTGGAAGAGCTACCTTTGACTGCTCACACAGGGAGTGAAGAGATCCTCTTTAGCCTACCATGTACTCTAGAGTAGAAGAGAGACCCCACTGAGCTCTGGGTGAGAAGCATGCCTCCCATTCCACATATCATTTTTGGAAAAGGAAAGAGCCCATCCCAAGATCCAAGAATCCACCTCAATAGGATGAAGCCATTTGACCTCGTATGGCTTTATTTCTTCATAATAAAAGAGAACATAGGACTAGATGATCTTTAAAAGCTCATCCACCACTCAGACTGTGGTTCTGTTTATTTGTGACCCAGGTGCTGTCTCAAAGAAAACAATATACACGAGCATCACCATTTCAAGAGACGCTCAACCAGCAGAGGCCAGAATCTATGATGAAATCCCTCAGTCCAAGGTGAGCTGCTGATGCTGTCAGGAAATTCCACCTCCACCTCCAGGACAGAGGCCACCGTTGCCCTTGGCTTCTGTTGCCCAGAAAGCAGTCTGGAGGGTCCAACCAGGAAACACCAGGTCAGGGAAAAGATAGCATGAATTCCTCTGTGAGGACAGGAACGTGGTCCACTGTCACCTCCTGGCAGCCTCCAAGGTTTGAGGTCATGAGCATGTGCATGCAGGCCTGGCTCTGAGTTAGATGAGAGCCGGTGGAAAACAAAGACCCGGACTAAGCAAGACTCAGTCTGTCTGAACCGTGCACATCCCTCCTCTTGGCTCCTCCTCCCCTCCCAGTTGCAGACAACACTCCCCTCACCCCACCAGATCCACTGGTCCTCTCCAAAGTTGGATGGAACCAGATCTGAGGCCAGGAGAAGAGATTACCTAGTAAACGTGGGACCGGAGGAGGGGGATGGGTGAGGCAGAATTAGGAAGGGAGATTCACAGAAGGCTCACGGAGGGTACTATGGATGTTGTTTTCCAGGGTACTCCCTTCAGAGAAGAGCCGGTGAACACAATTTATTCCACCGTGCAGTACTGTGAGAAGGTAAATCCTTTTCGGTTTTTTGATTCCTGCTTTCCTCTTGGTGGCAGTCATTTTGGTGATCCCCGTCCATCAGTAGGTAATTGAAAACCCAAGACTTCGCAAGCCCGTGGGAAGGTTGTTGACAGCATGCTAAATGCCTAGATCACAAGAGACACCAGTAATGAAAAGCCTGCAGTGGCTTTCCCTGTGTACAGCTGAAAGTAGAATTATTGGGATACAGAAAGAACTTGGGCCCAACTAGGAACAAAGAATGCAGCTAGCTGGAGCCCTGGATGTTGTCTCAAGCCTAGAGTCAAAATCAATGCCAGTTCCCCCATTCCCTCCTACTGCACTTTTCTGAGCAAAGAAATTCCCAGGGGGTCCCAGATGGGGTGGTTGGAGAAGAGGAAAAGAACTTGGCAAAGACAAGGCCCTGCTACCCCAGATTTCTGCAGCACTAGGGAAATGTAAGACACCCCACCTCCTGTGCCATTTGCTGAATTCTCCTGGGTACCACATGGGACTGGAGCTCCCCAGGCACGCCTTTCAGTTAACATATACTCACGTTTTCCTCTCGTGCACAGGTGGAGAAAACCGGCACACAGGACAATAGACCTCCCAGGAGACTTCAGCCTATGAAATTGTGATCTAGCTGGCAGATGGCATTCTCCCTGGGAAAGTGAGTTGCAGTCACCCATTGTGGCAAGTGCCCTGGATCTAGACCTTCTCTGTACAGCTCTTACTGGGAGACTGCAAATCACCACATCCCAACATGTAAGCCAAGCAGGAAACCTTCTGTTGCTGAGCATGGCTGGTACCAACAGACAAATGGTTACTTGACCTTTCTGACTGGCTCCCATTTGGATGAATGACAGAGCAGTTTCCCAATCTCCCTCACATCATGGCATGTGCAGAAAATAATGTTTTCTTATGGCACTCTGTGGTTAAACAGTCAAAGTTGCTCCTGCACGTGGCTGGAAGATTCTCTTGACTAGAGGTAATAGACCTGTCCATCAGCTGTGAGAAGAAGGGAATCAATATTTTGCACACCTGTAACATGCCATACACACCAGCAAGAATGCTCTGCTCACACTCTGCATATGCAAGGAACACTGGTACACGGCCCTCACCAGTTCCTAAATCATCTTGAGCAAATTAGGAAAGGATACTCTTTCCTTGGGACAGAGGGAGCCCCTCACTCAAGTGCATGGCATGGTACCAGCCCCCACTCGCTCCTTTGCTTGGGGACCTACGTGCAGGGCACAAGCTGTCAGAGTTTTGGCTGTTAGTCATGAAGACACGGTCTCCAAATGGAGTGTTAGAAATACTCCTTCGGTAGAAACTAGAATGTTGGAGCACTATTCTTTGGGCTCTATTTCAAAAGTCTTACGGGACTTTCTTTCTGGCCAAGTTTTCCTTCGGTGTCCCTCTGAGCAGTGTCAGCAGGAAGGTGACACACCCAGTACCTCTGCTCTCCAACAGAAATTAATCAGCTATGTTTTTTGCTTTTGGTGGAAATGGGTGTAAACCAGCCATTCCAACAAGAAACCTTGAAGGAAGCATAGTCGTTCACCAGAGGAAACTTGGGAGTAATGGTGCAGGTTATGAAACTGGATTTCACCCAGTTCCTTATTCTCAGCTCAGAGGGGCAGGAGGTTCAAGTTGAGGTTGAGAGCCTTGCTCCAGAATCCCCACAAACAGATGGCCAGCTGGCTAGCCATAAGGAGGAATCACCCCCAGCTCAGCTGGACAGTCATGTGATCATAACCTAACTGTCTAAATCTCCCACAGCAAAAAAAATGAGCTGCATTTAGGTAGAATGAGGTTTTCCATCCCAGTGAATGAATCCATGGAACTTTCTAGCACCGGCTACCATTCTTAGGATGGAGAGGCCCAAAGATGAGCATGATGTCTTGCCTTTGGCCCAGCTGAAGAGAGAAATTCAACACAGACACTACAGTCAAGTCCTAAACTGCAGCTGCAAGCAGTGACATGAACTATAACAGTCAGAAGAGCTAGAGGAGGAGGCGAGGCTGAAGCTGGGCCACAGAGAGAGGCAGAGGGAAGGTGGGAACCAGGCAGGTAACTGTGTCTGTGGGGTGTAGTTGGGGCTTCACATAGTCTCACAGTCCCTTGCCTATTCAAAAATGGAGTGCCTCAACCAGAATGCATGCCGCTACCCCTGTCCACGTACATATCCTCCAATGCCCACCTCAAATGGCACCTGTTCTATGAAGTGTCTCCCGGTATCATCAGCTAAAACTAATCACGGCTCATTTTATTCTGACTCATAGCATACATAATTATTTGGTCTCCTCACTACAGGATACACTACTTAAGGATAAGACCCATGTCTTTTATTCATTGCTTTATTTTTCTCTGTATCCACCACCACCCAACATAATGACTTATACCCTGTGTGCAAGCTGTAAATGCTGTTGGAGAGAACTGAAGTGACCAGCCTGCCAGAACAGAAAAGGTACATGTTGGAAGTAGGGATAGATCAATGCCAATAAGCATAGTGTGTCAGGAGCCGCTCTGGACAGGAGCTATGTATGTGGCCAACCAGCCAGGGGCTGTGTGTGTGAGCTGTGAGCATCCTGAGCGCACAAAGCGGACTAGACTGAGATGCTGCTCTGTGTGGGCTGTGCACGTTTGTGTCCCTTTCGCTTGCTCTGCCTTTGATCCCCACCCAGCACTTGAGATGGGCGTGGCCTTCCAAGATGTCAATCAACCTGCTGACAGCAAGACATTAGGAGCTAGACTCAACCCCCTGAAACCTGACCCCTTGCCTCATTTGAATGGCTTTTCCCCAATAAAACTGGGTTTGAGTCGCACTCTTTCCCTTTCTTGCCTGCCTTGCCTCTGTTGTGGGAGCTGAGTGGCCGCCACATAACCCAAAGGAAAAAAGTATTTCCCTGTCTGTGCGTCATTATTTCGTGTCAGCCCAATTCTCCTGGAGTGACCCTGACAGGTTTAGTCCTGTGTCGTGACAATAGTGGAACTAAATTATGGCAAGCATTAAACATTAGGATGCAGTTATAAGCTATTGCCTTTGTGTAAGGGCATTGGAGGAAAACTTTCGGAGTTAGACAGCTAAGAGGTCAGCTGAAACACTGAAGGAGACAGTGCTCTGGGGAAGGGCATGAAGGAAAAAAATTAGGTAACTTGGTTATAAAGGAGGAAGAAGCTGATGAGCAAAGGTGAGTTTCCCCTCGCTCTATAGGGAGATTGAGGGATCATTTCTGAACACCCTTATTTTGGAATCTGCTTCTTCTGCTTCCAGTGTGCTTATTAAGTCAAATTCCTAGTGTCTTGGTGTGAGGAAAGAAAGAAAGGGAGGGAGGGAAGGAGGGAGGGATAAAGAGTAATTGCAAGCAAGAGTTAGTTAGATATTCCAAAAAAAGCAAACCTGGGATGGATCCAGTGCACAGGAATTTTTAAGGTAGCCTTTGAGCTCATAACCATTCTTTCCTATGAATATTATGATTTATGAAAATGTAACTCCCTCCACAGAACTCAGTCCTCAAATTATGCTGTAAAATGAGTGTGATTTTTTTCCCAGATAGGGTCTCACTCAATTGCCTTAGGCTGATTTTGAACTTGTGATCCTCATGTCTCAGCCTCCTAAATGAAATAAATGTGATCTTATTTCCCCTTCGTGGATTTCCAGAAGAGCTACAATGTGACCAACATGTCTATAAAATTACAATATCGTTTCAAGGGAACAGGGATTTACTAGCAGACCGAAATGTGCCAGTTTTTTGAAAATACCATCAAAATTGAAATCTTGGGGCAGCGCTCTCTAGTGGAAAGTACTGGTAAAGCAGGACGGTCCCTCTGCCTGCAAACACTGACTGGGCTTCTGATGTTACATCTCACGCTTCCCAGAAGAAAATGAAGCTGGTTTAAAATATTATTTTTTAAAAGAAGTCAACAGAACACTCTAAACTACACTATCCAAAAGAGAAGAGCTTCAGTAGGCCACCTTGGAAATTGTGTAAGTAGGAAGGAGCCCAACTGGGTTGGGCTGTGTCAAGAGAAAGCAGGTCTTAGGTTCCACCTTAAGAGAAGAAATTGCTGGATTGTATTTTCTTTCAGATCAATTCCTTTTCTTCTATTTGACTTTCCCCTGAATTTCCCCTGATTTGTATAATTTTCTCAAGAAAACTAGTGACTGTATCCAGTGTGTAAAATAAAGTTTGGAAAACAAAGACACCAAGAGAAAGCATATTAATCAGTTGTCAGAAACATGGGCTCTGACAGTGGAGTGCCTGGGTCTGAAGTCCTTTAACTCCGATGTATTTTGTTGTATGCCGTCCATGCCCTCTGTTACTACCATACCACCCTCTAATTACCCAATATCATACCTGTCTTGCCAAGGAGGCTGAGAGAACAGGGGCTCTGTCCAATAATAATGGAAATGGAATACTCATTGAGGACCTGAAGCTTGAGGGTTTACTTTGTATCCCAACTGCTCTGCTAGAAGCTTTGTCCTTAATTATCAGTACAACAGTCCTGTAAAAGAGAAATTAATTCTTCTAGTTTGCATCAAGGCTATGGAGGAATGCCTTAACAAAGTCAGGAAGCCAAGGGGAAGGGATTTGACTGCAAGACTTGGTGCATTTAACTCTCCCTTTACCTGCTGTGGATCCCCACAGAAGAAGAAAATGAAGCTGGCTTAAAATATTATTGTTTTAAAAGAAATCAACAGAACACTCTAAACTGTCCAAAAGAGAAGAGCTTGAGTAGGTTACCTTGGAAAGAGCATAAGTAAGAAGGAGCCCTGGTGCTTGGTCTCAGGTATAAGACACAGATACCAGGTAGATCACACATACCTGCTGAATGAACATTTGCATGTACTAATATTTTAAAGTGTCTAAAAACAGCTCAAAGTAAATATATTCACATAGCAATTCCATTGTTATCTGGATGCCACTCAAGATTTCTGTTGAAAATGCCCATTATATTAAAGAAGTTTGGATGGAGCTCTTTGTCTGCATCTGCACAGAGCTGTTTTCATAGCCAGCAAGGCATCTGGGTCATGTGTTCTGATGAGTTGTTACAAAATGAAAGGAACAACGTAAATTTCCATTCTTTACTAATAGCATAAGAATAACAGGAAAAGGTTAGACATTGGGTAATTGCACTGTACTATTTAGCTGTACTAAAGTAATAAATAGTTGTATGCATATAGATTTGAATGAGCACTCACTCAAGTATGAGGAACTGTTGTGGGTATTTTTGTTTGTTATTGATGTTTTTTAGTACTGGGGGTTGAACTCAGGGCCTCGTGCATGCTAGGCAAGTGCTCTACCACTGAGCCACATTCCCAGCCCTTTTTATCTTATAGATAGGGTCTTGTAAAGTTGTCCAGGGTGTCCTTGATCTTGCCATCCTCCTGCCTCAACCTCCCCAGTAGCTGGCATTACAGGTGTGCACCACCATCCTGGGTCTCTTACGGTTGTTCAAAATATATTGAAATGTTAAAACACTTGGACAAAAGACCATTAATAAAAGTCTAGAACTCAGATTGGAAGAAGCAAAGCACTAGACATTCTCTGGAGACTTTCAGACTTTGAGAAATTGACTTTGAAAAAATAATAAATGGATAATAATTATTAACTCTTGCTGGCTAGTGGTCCAGGAAATCAGTTCTGAACAGCCATACTTAAGTCTCTGGGTTTGAGCAGGATCTATCTACTCTGTGACCTGAAATTAGTCATATCTTTACAAACGAGAATTGAGATTTTTCTAATGAGGTCTTGGTGAAGATAAACAATTATAGAAGTGATCATCAGAGAATTCTTTAAATGTTTATAAATCTTAAACCTTTCGTTTACAACCTATATTTCCAACTGTTCATGGGTCATCTCACCAGACATTAGAAGTCACCTCAAATTCAGTGTGTTCAAAATGGAACTCAAAGGTGTGTCTATGACCTCCGCAACTTGCTTTTTTTTGGCTCCCCTGTGCTAGTTAATGATCCACTGTAAACATAATAACTAACACTTATCGAGGGCATACTATGTACCATTCCCTGGGCTGTTTTACATGTACTTATTTAAAGCTCTTAAGAAACATTGAAACTCATCTACCTTCTGAAGTAGATACGATCTACTTCAGATTAAGAAACTAAGTCACAAAAAGACTAAGAACTCATCTAATAGTCAAACTCTTCTTTCTTCCTGTCCCTCCAATTCCCCTCTACATTGAATTCGTTATTGGGTCCTATCAACTCCAACTCCTCCATGTGGCCCCTCTCAACAATGTCCCTTCAACCTGCCGAATTCTCTAGAACACGAACCCTCTGCCTGTCCACTCTCTTCATCGTGTGTTACCTAGGCTGCTATCACATAAAGAGCAACCTTTCTAATTCATAGCTCTTACTACTTCGTGTCCCTCCTAGAAAGTTCTCCCTGTGGGATGAGACTCCCCAGCAAGCTGACTGATCAGATCCTCCTCTCTTTCTGCTCCCTAGGCTTTAGCCACACAGAATTATCATGAATCCATGAATCTACCAAATCATTTCTACCTCCCATACTTTTGCCCGTGTCATGTCCTCTGCCTGGAAGGCTCTTCTCTCCCTTTTGGCCCTGGCTCTTTCTTACTTCAGGGTCAGGCCAAGCACCACCTCTTCCTTCCAAATCCTTCCACCCAAAGCTACCTACATAGCTCTCTGTACTGCTACAGCATGTGGTCCTAAATGCGCTTATCACACCATATAGTAACTATACATATTACACAGGCACTCTACCACTGAGCTACATCCCCAGCCCTTTCCATTTTCAATTTTGAGATAGAATCTGGCTAAGTTACCCAGGTTGGCCTTGAACTTGTGATCCTCCTGCCTCAGCTTCTTGAGTGGCTGGGATTATAGGCGTGCACCACCACACACCTAGGCTAGCTGTGATATTTTCTGAACTGTCCATCATGTGGTCATATGTTTTAGGTCAGGGAACTTTCTTCTCCTGTTTTGAGTCCCCAGAACTTAATGGATCCCAGATCCTTCTCAAAATGTTGGTTGTATCAGTTCATTAATATGAACATGAAGATCATGCTCACTGGTGACAAATGCCGCTCAACCTTTCAGGAGCTGGGTGTCATGCTTGTAAATGGGATTTCTAATCCTCTCCATGTATCAACAATTTATTTCCCAAATTTGTAAGTTTCCATTAATAAAGTATTGTCCACATATCTTAATTTGTAAGTGCCTAAGGAACGGGACCACAGACTCCGTCTCAGTGGGTAAACACAATAAATGTGGTTTGATAATGCATCTATTCTTTTTGTCCTACTTGGTTTTCAAGAAAAGAAGAAACGAAGTCAGTGACTGAAACAGCAAAGGAGGTCTTCAAGATGATACCAGCCCCGTGCAGTCTGAAAGCCCAGGCCCTCGGGAGACACAAAGAGACCAAGGGATTGAGGGAGAAAGACAGAGAATGGGGCAAAAGATGGCGGAGGTGAGCAAGATGAGTGGAACCCTGGGAGGAGACTGAGAAGCCAGAGGCAGGGAGTACCCAAACCAGAAAGAGCAAAGGACCAGAGCACAGCAGAGGCATTGGGCTAGGAGTGAGGGAAGTTCTGCCCTGGGCCAGCCTAGAGAGAAGGAGACTGGGCACTTAAGTCCTGAGTGTCAGAGGCATGTCATGCAGGAGCTTTGACTATCTCACCTTCCACTCACAGCACCCACACGGGGGCGAATGCCTAGTGGAGCTTAATAAACCCGTGTTGAACTGAATTTGGATTAGTGCCCAGACATTAGGAAAGGAAAAGGGTTTCCAGAAACCACCCTTAGAGTCTGAGCCTAGGGAAGTGGAGCGTTGTCACCCCTAGTTCCACTTGGAAGAAAGGATAAAATGAGGGAAATGAGTTGTGGTTTTCACAGAACCACAGCTTCAGGGCCTCGGGATGTTTTTTTAAACCCTGAACAAGAAGTGACTTGCTAAATAGTAAATGGAAGTTTCTAGGTCTGAGGAGGGAAAAAAACAACAACACTTCCTTTCCTGTCTGCTTCATCGAGAAACCCCAGGTCCTCTGCTCTGAGCCACTCTCTGAAGATGTGCATGGCCTCTCAGCTCCCCCAGTTCATCCCTGCATCCTCTTCTTTTGAGGCTGAAATTGGCCGGTAACCCCAAAGAATTTCAGAGATCCACTTCTGGGGGCAGATACAGCAGCCACGTGAGATTTTAAAACTTTGGTAATATCTTCTGAGGTCTGACACATTTCACTTTATTATCTTCACATTAGCCCTACGACTTTCCCTCTGCCTGAAATACTTTTACCCCCGCCCCTTGTTATCTTCACTAACTCTAATACACAACTTTACCCAGTTAATGTCCACTTAGTCCTCCGGGCTCAGCTCAAATGTCCCTTCCTGAGAAAATCTTCTCTGTTGTTCCAGACTATATATCCAGTGCCCATATTTTGTTCTTACTGTACTTTATCTCTTTTCTTCATAGCAGTTTTTGGATTTTTGTTTTTAAACATTTCTTTCTGTGATTATTTCATTAATGTCTCTCTTTCTCTATTGGACTGTTAACTCCATCAGGATACAGACCACATCTGATTTTTCTCATCAAATATATCCATTATGGGGCTGGAGTTACGGCTCAATGGTTGAGCACTTGCCTTGCATGCGTGAGGCACTGGATTTGATCCTCAGCACCAGATAGATAGAAAGATAGATACATAGATAGATAGATAGATAGATAGATAGATAGATATACATTGTGTCTGATGTTATGCAAATGACAGATGAAGTGATCCATGTATGATATTTTCATTAATTATTGAAAGGCCTTTAATAGCATTACCTGAAATGTGGCAATCCTTTAATATCCTTTAGTACATGTCTCAATACCAAAAATCATTATATTTACTCCTAGAACATTCCCTTAACAGGTGCTATAAAATCTTTGGTTGGAAATGCAGTACAAAAATACTGGTTTCATCACCTATACAGAAAAGACAGTTAAGAGGTAGAAAATGCAAAAGAGTTAATATAATAGGTTTGGTCCTCAGAACTTGAACTTTGGAAGGATCCCACCATTCCCTGACAAGAGTAGCTTACACTGCATAAATTGTTTGCAAACCATTTCATGTGTGCTGAATATCTGCTTGGTTCTGGAATTTTGGTACATGTTAGGCAGAGGATGTCTGCATGACTGTCTGTGGATTAAAGCCCTGAACTCCTAGGCTCAGGCAAGCCTCCCTGGTAGACTACATTTCAGATGTGTTGCCCAATGTGTTGTTGAAGAAAATAAGCATATATTGTGTGACTCCACTAAGGACTCTTGGAAGCTTGGGCCTGGTCTCCTCTGGACTTTCCTCTATGTACCCTTTTGCCTTTACTGATTTTTCTTTGTGTTCTCTCACTGTAATAAATTCCACAAGGACACTTCTATGCTGAGCTCTATTGACTCCTTTATGAAAATGTTGCTAGAGCTCCTAAAAAGCTTGCATTTACAAAATAGTTGATAAAAATATTCCTCTGGATTGTACAAAGAGGGAGACAGGGAGCACTGGTAAGACATGGTGTGTGATCAACTAGATTTGGCTTCCTTTTCTTCTGCTGCATCAGAAACTGGGCTCTCTGTGTTCCTAGTCTGTTTGTTGCAGGGAAAACTTTAGTTCCTTATTGGCCTGTTTTCTCTTGCTCCCATTTTCCCCTTTTTTTGGGGGGGGGGCACATTTACGTCTGAAGATTTGTCCTTTCCAACTACATTTTTTGGGGGGTATTTAATTTCCCATTTTAGAGGAGCAGCTTTATCTAACACCATTGTCAATCACCCATCCTCTTGGACTCTTCCTTCATTGTCCCTTTGACCAATGAGTTGACCTTCCTCTTGGGCAACTAGGTGGTGCAAGCTTCGGAAGCTGCCACTTCTCCTATCACCAGAGCTGCTGAGACATGTAGCAAGGGCAGAGTGGGAACCTCAAGGCCCTACTTCTCATAGGTTCTGCTGCCTTTCAACATCACCAGCTGGGGACCAAGCTTCTGATACATGAAAATTTGGAGGAAATACCCAAACCATATCCAACCTATTAGGAGCCTACGATTAAAAGAAATCCCAGATAATTGGTAAAGGACAACCCCAGTACAGAGACAGTTTACAAAGATGAAGTAATGGCTATTTTTTCCAGGGGTGGGGGAGCAGATTATGTGAGAAAAAAAAATACACACATAAGAAATGGAAAAATCAGAATGCATTCTAGGAAACAAAATAAATTGACAGAAACTGTCCCTAAGAAAACCTAGACATCAAACTTATCAGATAAAGTCTGAAACCATGATGCTAAATATGCTGAGAGGGGAACAAAAAGAACTTTTAAAAAGTCAGAAATCAGAGTACTTGAGCAACACTACAAACAAATTGGACCTAACAGATATATACAGACTACTCCACTGAAATACAGCAAACACATAATTTCTCAAGTGCACATTAGGCTACTACATACATTTTCATAAATTTTTAAGAGTTAATATTATAAACTGGTTTATAATATTATAAACGGCAATCCAAGCAACTCAGAGGCTGAGGTGGGAGGATCCCAAGTTCGAGGCCAGCCTCAGCAACTTAGTGATAGTCCTGACTCAAAATAAAAAAAAATAAAAAGGACTGGGGATAGGGATGCAGCTCAATGGTAGAATGCCCCTGGGTTCAGTACCAAAAAAAAAAAAAAAAAAAAGCCATACCACGTCTCTGACAGGAAGTCAGTCTTCCCAGAGATACTTTCAATTTGTTGACTCCCTCAGTGTCTTCAGCACGGGTCTCCACCTCTGAAAGCATGTTCTGGCTGTTCCAATCTCTCCTGATTGTCTTCTGCGAAAGCTCAGGTAAATATCCACATAGCCCCACATTGTCATTGAGTGACTCCTTGTTTTTGCGCAGTCTGCTCAACCTAAATTATGTAGACACCGCTGTATGGCTGACTCTGCTGAGGGACCAGGTGGATTCACGGTGGCTAACTCTAAACTGCCACCTTATCTGTGCATTGAATGATAAAGGCTGCAGATGGCTTTGGGGGTAACAACTACAACTGAATCTGCCTGTAAGGGATGTGTTTGCAGGGGGCTTTTGTGAAATTGGGCTTTTGTGAGTTAAGACTGTTTGGGGATTATGACCAACATGTTGTACTGTAAAGAGAACTTAGATCAAGAAAGCGAATCCTCTACAGTTCAGCTACCAGGTTACGGTGCAACTTTAGGTCAGTTAATTATACTTTCTGGGCTTCACTCTCCTCATCTAAAATACTTAAAACTTATGATTTCATGTACCCTGAGTTTGGGGGACCCAAACAGAAATAGTTCTTTTTTGTCAAGGGCAAAAATAATAATAATAATGATACATGAGCTTCCCCTTTCTTTGATGCAAATCAGGAGCTAGCTAGCTAGCCCAGCAATGCTTCATATGTCAGTGAGAAAGGACTTACTCAATGTAGCCTTCTCATTGTTCCTGGCTGTCCATCACATAGAGAATATATGTGATGGACTACTTGTGGTTTCCATGCTTGGGAAACCACAAGTAGTTCATTGTAACTGAAGTTCAGTGTTCAAGGAGAGGAGACCAGGCAAGAAGCTCCCAGGTATAGCCTGGGAGTAGCTGATCAAAAGCTAGCATGTAGGAAGTACTTACTTTATTTCAGATACTGGACCAGGAGCTATATGTGGATCACGTTTAGAAATCTCCTGACAATTCCATGAATTTATACTACTGATAGCCCCATTTTAACATAGAGAAACTGAGGCTAAGCTCATTTAAATAACACCCAAATTTCACTAGCCGTCACTTGGAAAGCTCTTGAATACTTCTGAGAAACAATGACCATTGGACGAACCGGTCAGTAGCATAAGAGAAAACAAAGATGCCACCGATGTAGACTTTACTAAACTAATTGGCAATGAAAAAAAAAAAAAGAGAGAATTTTGTTAAGTCATCCAAAAAAAATATTCATCAGGCATCTACCAAATACCTAGCACTGTTCCAATTTCTGGGATACATCATGAGCAGGGCAGGCAAAACTTCCTGCTCTTGTGGAACTGACATTTTGACAAGAAGACAAACTATAAACAAGTAAAATAGTACCTTGGATATTGATAAATGATAAAAATGAAATAACTCAATTGGAGAAAGAACATATAGAAATATGGCGGGGAGGGCGGTCATACTTCAGATAGGACAACCAAAAAAGGTGACAATTTGGGGAACAGGGAGAAGCCATGGGGAGGAAGGTAAGTTCATTTTGGGACCTATTAATTTTAAGATGTCAGTGTAACATCCACGAGGAGATGTTACTGAAAGCAGCTGGAAATTTGGGACCAGGGGTAAGGCTGTGAATGGCGACTTGAGAGTTAACACCATAGAGATTACCAATGAATCCAAGGGGAAAAGTGGAATTAGGATAAAACCTTGAGAAATACATAGAAGGTGCAGAAAGAGAATTCTTTCGTTCATTCAAGAGTCACTTCTTGATCTGGGACCAGCAACTCAAGCTTTAACCTCACTTTTCCCTGTTTAAGAAATTGAACTCTTCTCCGGGTGTGGTGGCACATGCCTGTAATCCCAGCAGCTCAGGAGGCTGAGGCAGGAGGATTGCAAGTTCAAAGCCAACCTAAGCAACTCAGTGAGAACCTGTCTCTAAATCAAATATAAAAAAGGCTGGGGATGTGCGCAGTGGTTAAGTGCCTCTGAGTTCAATCCTCAGTACCAAAAAGAAAAAGAAATTGAACTCCTCTATGAATTATTTGGAATGTCCTCCTGTTAAAACTTCTCTCATTCTCCCTGTTTCTGTGGATATTTCTAATAACAACCCTATGAAATATACAGTTTCTCACCTCCCAGATGAGAAAAGAAGGTACCTAACACTTAAGTGACTAGCTTAGACTCACCCAGCTACAGGAGGAGGGGTAGAAAGAGAAACACACTCAGCTGTGTCTGCAGGAAACGGATGCAGATGTTCCAGGGCCCAGGAAACAAACAGGGGTTACCAGGGCTAGATTCAGGGAGCCTGGCCCCAGAAGCTGTGCCCACAGCCACTTCACTATGCTACCACCTTACACACGGTTACATGTTCACATGCACGTATACATTATTACCCAGCGTTGTGCTAGGAAGAAACTAAGCAAGGCACTGGGGTGGAGGAAACAAATGGATGTGCTCTGGATGGGTGATGAGGAACGATTAGAACTTTGGGATGTAATATCTCCTCTGAGCTTTAAAATTGCTGAGGCTGGCCTCAAATCTTCGACCCCTCTGCCTCAGCCTCCAGAGCTGCTGGGATCACAGGTGTTTGCCACCACGCCCAGGAAGAAAAAGCTTTGAATTTTGATGAAGTACAATTTACCTGTTATTACGAGGTGGCCAGCACCTCACCAGGGTAATTCTTCCTGTGCAGGAGGGGATAAACCACCTGAGAAAATTAAAGTCTGAAGTAATTAGTGAAGAAATAAGAGACAAGGTTAGAATTAGTTTTTAAAGCAGAACGCCTGATAGTCTGTCTCTTCCAGTCCTGGTGGGAGGTGGAACAGAACAGTTCAAAAGTGGCTCTGGGAGTCTGTTGGGGATGATGGCTGCCACAGGTCAGCCTACCTCCTGTGCTGGGTGTAACCTGGCAGAGCTGAATAGACACTCACATGTATCTGGACGGTCTTAACCAGCAGGATTGCAGATGCAAGTTCCCGATACCAGATTTTCCTATTCACTGGTTATGATGTTGGTCCATACACAGTCCACGGATGGCTCTGGGCAACCTGTTTTTTTCTTTTGTTGCTTGTGCTTTTGGTATTACATCTAAGAATTCACTGCCAAATCCAAGATCACTAATATTCACCCCTATGTTTTCTTCAAGAGTTTTATAGTTTTAAGTCTTATATTTAGGTAATTGATACATTTTGAGTTAATTTTTGCAAATGGTGAGAGGTAGGGGTCCAACTTCATTTTTTTTGTAGTTGTCCCATACAATTTGTTGAAGAGATTATTCCTGGATTCTCAATTCTATTCCATATAGTCATTTATATGTCGATCCTTATAACAGCACTCCACTGTTTTGATTACCATAGTTATATATATATAAGTTTTGAAATTGGGAAGTGCAAGTACTCTAATTTTGTTTTTCTTTTACAATATTATTTTGGCTATTTGGGACCTTTCCCAATTCCATATGAATTTGGGACCTTTTGCAATTCCATGTAAATTTGAAGATTGACTTTTTCACTTATGAAAAACAGTCACTGCAATTTTAATACAGATTGCATTGAATCTGTAGACTGCTTTGGACAGTATTGCCATCTTAATATGGTTTTCCAATCTGTGAACATGGAATGTCTCTTCATTTATTCGGGTTTATTTTTAATATATCTCAGGAATTTTTTTTAGTTTTTAGTGTATACATCTTTCTAGTTAAATTATTGCCAGGTACTTTATTCTTTTAATTACTATTGTTCAGTGGAATTGTTTTCTTGGTTTCTTTTTTTAGATTGTTCCTTGCAGGTATGGAGGAATACAAGTGATTTTTGTATGTTGACCTTGAATCCTGCAACTTTACCAAGTTCACTTATTAGCTCTGGTTAATTTTTCTGATGGATAAATTTTCTATTTATCCATCAGGCCATACCATCTTTGAATTGAAATAGTACTTCTTTTCCAATTTAGATGCCTTTCATTTCTTTTTTATTTCTTGTCTAATTGCTCTGGCTAGAACTTTCAATATAATGTTGTACAGAAGGAGTGAAAGTGGGTATTCTTATCTGAGATAAATTTCACTCAATTATGATGTATAATCCCCATAAAATATTGTTGGATTCAATTTGTTAGTATTTTGTTGCATATTTTTGCATCAATATTCATAAAGGATATTGGTATATAATTTTCTTTTTTGCCTGATATCTTTGTCCTTGGTATCAGGATTGTTCTGGCCAAGTAAAATGAGTTAGGAAGTGTTTTTCTCCTCCTCTTTTGGGGAAGTTTAAGAATGACAGGTGTTCTTTGAATAATTAGAATTTACTAGTAAAGTCATCTGGCTTTTATTTTTTATTTTTTTATTCTAATTTGTTATATATGACAACAGAATGCATTACAATTCATATTACACATATAGAGCACAATTTTTCATATCTCTGGTTGTATACAAAGTATATTCACACCATTTGTCTTTATACATGTACTTAGGGTAATGATGTCCATCTCATTCCATCATCTTTCCTAACCCCATGCCCCCTCCTTTCCCCTCCCATCCCTTTCCCCTATCTAGAGTTTATGTAATCCTCCTTGCTCCCCCTCCCAACCCCACTATGAATCAGCATCCTTATATCAGAGAAAACATTCAGCATTTGGTTTTGGAGGATTGGCTAACTTCACTTAGCATTACATTCTGCAACTCCATCCATTTACCTGCAAATGCCATGATTTTATTCTCTTTTATTGCTGAGTAATATTCCATTGTGTATATATATATATATATATATATATATATATATATATATATATATATACATACCACATTTTCTGTATCTATTCATCTACTGAAGTGTATCTAGGTTGGTTCCACAGTTTAGCTATTGTGGATTGTGCTGCAATAAACATTGATGTGGCTGTGTCTCTGTAGTATGCTGTTTTTAAGTCCTTTGGGTGTAGACCAAGGAGTGGGATAGCTGGGTCAAATGGTGGTTCCCATTCCCAGTTTTCCAAGAAATCTCCATACTGCTTTCTATATTGGCTGCACCAATTTGCAGTCCCACCAGCAGTGTAAGAGTGTACCTTTTTCCCCACATCCTTGCCAACACTTATTGTCATTTATATTCTTAATAGCTGCCATTCTGACTGGAGTGAGATGAAATCT